TTGTCGAAGCTTCCTCAGTTTCTCATGCAACGGAGCAAACAAACATACACAATCAGCGTTTCCACGTCAGGAAGAAACAAATTAGAAACTTTAACAACCCCAAGGCTCTGTGGTTAATTTTGATCATAAAAGGACAAGAGGTCCCAAATCATTCCCAATCGTGACATTGCCAGATGGCATTTTTATAGAATGAATCAGTTTGTTGGTTTTTCCGTATTAGTCGCTAATGGTGTAGCGGTACACTCGCCTGACTTGTGTGCGAGCAGCGTGGGATCGGTTCCCAGTCAGTGGCGGCGTGTATTATTGCGGGGGTGTATTATTGTTTGTCTCTCGATGTGCCCTATGACTGGCTGGCGACCAGTTGAGGGGTTGGTCCGCCGATCGAAGGCGGCATATCAGGAAAAACAGCTGATTTGTCTTCCAAATGTGATTGTGGATGGCGCAAAGAAATCATTCACATGCAGATACAGTTTTGTTTTTTTTTATTCCACCTATTTTATTAATGTGTAGTTTTTTTTACATTTTGTGTTTTATGTTCGAAATGTATTTGTACTTTTATTTTATTTAATGACTATAATTTTATTATTAATGTTTTTTTTTTTTTTGGTTTAGTAGCTTTTTCACCTTATGATGGGTAAAAGTGAATTTGAAACAGGATAAAACTGGATGTCGCCCGCTATTGTCAAACCAAATTTTGTCACCGCACCTCAACGAACGAACGAATGAACAACGAACGAACAAACATCGAACAATGAACGAACGAACAACGAACAAACAATGAACGAAAGAACAACGAACGGACGAACAACAAACAAACGGACAACGAACAATGAACGAACGAACAACAAACAAACGAACGAATGAACGAACAACAAACGAACGAACAACGAATGAACGATCGAACAGCGAAAAATGTCCGTTGTTTGTTCGTTCGTTGTTCGTTCGTTCGTTCATTTCATAACTTTGCTGATGTGAATTGGGAATTTCTCCATTACGAGACTAATAAAGGTTTTCTTATCTTATCCTAAAACAAACGTGTTTTTAAATAGTTGAAGTGTTCGAAAAGGAAGGCAGAAACTATGCGCTGTTATCATTGAAAAGTTTAATGGAGCATATGGGAAACATTTGAGGGCATAAGTAGGAGGTGAACGGGCTGAGAAAACAGACGTGGTCTTAATACGGATGCTTACTTTTGTCGCGTTTTTGCTTATCAGGCCACCGTGTAACAAGTGCTGTCATCACATTGCAACAACACTGTTCGGCATCACAGTTTTGCTCTGCTTCTCCGCGCATGTTGACTCTACAGGAGGAAAAAAAAATCTTGGATGGTTTTTAGGTTCGGCTGGCTCACAACTGCACCCCTGCGACAAAACATGAATTGAACACCAGTTAGAATTCAATGAAAAGAAAAAGAAGAAGAAGACGGGGGGGGGGCACTATTTGTCTCACAATGGGAGAAATTCACAATTTACATCAGCAAAATTGATGAAAAGGAGAAAGCACAAAAGAAAAAGGATCATCAAATAGTTGTTTACATTGATGAAGCCAATATAAATACTTTGGGGTGATCATATTTTTATCAATTATACATGAAAGCACAAATAAAAGACTGTTTCCCACGATAATTGTGGGCTCAGTTTGTGCCAACTAGCTCCTGTTTATCTGTCTAGTCTCTTATTCTGTGGACCCCAGGCACCGCTATTGTTGACCAACGGAAGTCTTATTATAAACTGTCATTTTAGCAATGTGCTCTTGGTGCTATTATTTCACAGGCAAAAGGGGGGAGAGCACCATTTGGCAACCAGGACACTGCTTTCGCAGTAGCTCATCTAATAACTGCTAAAGTCCTTTTGAACACTTAATAAAGTCGTGGCAAGTAATGTTTCCGATTAAAAAAAATAATCCGGGTGCAGCTTCATCAATTATGATATTGTAGATTTGTTCGTTTGAGTCGGTAATTCAAAAAGGCGAACTCCAGCGTAATGTTGAATCACCGCACACCGAAAAATATATTTCAGAATCTTAATCCCAAGCAAAGTGTTAAATCAAAACCCTTTTTCATCGTCTATTAAGATGGTGAATTGGGGGATTTTGTTTGTTTTTTTTATTAGCTACAATCTTCAGAATAACATTAAAATATCAATTATTTCACACTGCGCGGTAAATCCATATACCAGAGTGAAGTTTCTTGCTTTTTTTTTTTTTTTTTGTAATTGAATGACTGAAGTTTTCCATTATTTCTTGAATTTATTGAGATGTACCTGACAGTTTGACTCGCATGACCAAAATTCAAACATCAAAACATTCCCCAAACTTCAGTTGTGGTTTAAGAATCCATGCCAACTTTTTGGAGTGTTGTCCCCACACACACCCAAGCCAAGTGAGCACATCATCAAAACAACTTGCTATTTGTTTAGCTCTGCACGTTATGTCGTTTCCAACTGTTGTGCATATGTGTCACTTTGGAGCAATGTCCTGTCGCAAAATAGTAATTTGGTGTAGTGATGCGTTATTTTTTTCATCAAGTGTTATCACCATGTTTGGATGCTTCATCATGAAGTCATTGTTTGGACTTTTTTTTTTTTTTAAGTAAGGTGCGGCTATTTCGACAACATGGGGTGAGAGATGACGTGCATCAAATCCTTTGGGATGTTGATGTTGGGTGTACCCCTTAAAAGGTTGAGGAAAAGCTGTATGTCATTATCGTCTACTATTGATGATAATTGCATGCCAACAGGGATTTGGGCAACTGCCACTTCAACACAACATATTGAGAATAATATTTTGCAGGGCTCCTGTCAGTCATAGGCCCTTAAAATCATCATTGCTTTTCTCCCCCTTCCAGTGCCTGTGGTACTCCTATCAATATGTACTTTGTATGAGGGCTGTAACAAAAAACAATGTTTAATTTGTTGAATTTGTAACTACAGTGGACAGCTTCATGTTATCAGGTTACAGGGTGCATGAAAGGGTGAAATTTGGCTTTGCAAAGTGAGCATAATATTGAAGATTTCTCCAAATGAGCCGGCGAGCAACTTACCTCGGTTTTCAACCATAATCCGTTCCAGAAGGCTGTTCGAAACCCGATTTGTTCAAAAACCGAAACCACGCTCTTTTAAAAAAAAAAATCTTTATTGAACACGTCTGCTCACAATGGAACGATACACGAGGAAGCGTCACGTCCTCGTGTAAGGAAGGCGAGAGGAGTCAAGTGGCGCATTCAAGTGCGCTTAGTTTGGTCGAGAACCGATTTTCGGTCGTAATCCGAGGCATAAAAAACTCAAAATTTTTGGTCAAAAACCGATTTGGTCGAGAACAGAAACGTTCGAAAACTGAGGTAATACTAGCCTGGCTGTAATACTAGCCAGCAGGGTGCGCTTTTCTGACTGAAGCACTTGGGAGAATGTGTCCCTATAAGAGTAGTACAGATGGACACACGGCAATATTTGATGACAAAAATGGTTATGTGGGCATCTCAATCAATCAAGCATTCTGAAAAAAACATTGTTTTCATCCCAAATGGATTTCCTACAGCAACAAACTACAAATATGCTTAAATGTTATATAATCAAATTGTTGCAGCGCCGAAAAAGGAGAGCTGCGGTGTTGTTTTTTTAGAACATATAGTTTATTAATACTTTTCACAATGTCAACCAATACAGGCACGTCCTTCGCCGTCTCCGTGCCTTCTCTTCTTGCGTTCGATTCGAGAGACGTTCAAAGACCGCCTCCGAAAATCGTAAATTAACGATAACTTCAATGACACGAAGAAAATCGAAAATAATCCACCAGAACAGAAAATCAAGTGAAGAAATCACAACATACATTCCATGGGGGGTTTGTAAATACACAACAAAGGAATAAATAACATTGAACAAGACAGTCCGGTCTCCTACAAAATGACGAGTGTTTATTTATACTTCAAAACTATTTCATTTCTATATTTTTGAAGGTGATGCTCGGAGTGTCATCAAGCCCGTGAGCCGCACGTTGACCACCCACCACCATGTCTGCATTTGAGACCGCTCTCGCTTTCAATTCACCGCATAAACATTTATGAACAAAACATGAATGTGGCCTCTTAGTCCACAATGACATCATATTTACTCCTCGTCGTTAAAATGAGATTAAATTCCCCTTCGTGTTTGAAAGAGAAATCGTATGTTTTGCAATGACAACACAGTATATTGACTATAATACGAGACGGAAAATAACATGAGCTCATGCGCTTTGCCTTTTCATACACACAACAGGCATGTGAGTGAAAGAGACTAACTGTTTTGCAAGAGTGTTTGTTTAGCTTTGGCAGCGGTCCCGCAAGCTTCTAAAATGACCCCGCTTTGTGAGTTTTCCGGCGCCACACACATGCTTCAGGTTAGACGGACGGGCCGCCGCTTTCGTACCTGTGCAAGAGCTCCGAGACGCCGCACGCGGCAGTAGAAAGAGCGGAATGTATTTTGCCGTGACCTCTGCCGGCTCCGTGTCAGTCCCGCGGTGCCACGGCGCTTGCGCTTATATCACGGTTGACCGTCACAACATGCCAGTCTGGTGATGCGTTTGGGGTGTGCAGTTGGAGTCCATATCAGATGGAACGTTACGGTTTAGGGTCCAATGAATGTTTATTGTATGACCTTTGAAAGCATTTTCTATTCTTGCCCTCTTTTTTTTTAAATTATTATTAAAAAAGAATGTGGCCTTGTGTCTTGGATTGCAATCGGGGGAGTGATAGTAAAATATTGATGAATGGATGACAAATGACAAAACATGACCCTAATGTATATATAAATAGAATAAAGTGAGGGAAATATGAAGATAAATAGCCAAAACAGAGACCCTTTCTGATTTGTGGTCTTTTCACCTGAGCCAAGTTTCACTTCCAATCTCTCTTACGACTTGATTTTTCTCTTTTCAACTGCGTCGCCTCTTCGAAGGACATTTTGATTCGCCTGTAAATCTTTTTCTGAATGGAATTTGCTCAGATGACCACTGATCATATCTAAAAACTGTGACATCAAAGCACACTTTTTTTTCGGCAGAGGAGGCCAAAGAGTGTTTCACACTTTCGAAAGACAGTCTGTTGGTGAGTATGACAGTTACACTGGAAAAAAAACAAAAAAAAACGTTTTTTTGTTGACTTTACTCAATTTTATTTTGTCATGCGGTTGCACGGAATGAAGTAATATGGATCCAGAAACATTTTCTACATCCACTTCAAATCTATCTGCAACCAGATGATTTTGTGCGACTACCTGATGATATAAAATTGAGTAAAATCAACACACATTTTTTACTTTCAGTGTAGACAGCTAAACAGATAGAGACAGTCAGACATGCATATTGATTTGACATATTCAATATGTATCAGAGAGCTTGCATGTGATGTATCATAATCCATCAGGTTCCCACAGAGGAAAATGCAATTAGGGGAGGGGACTGCTGTACCCATAAAGCCCGTCAGCAGAACAGACCTCCACAGTGGACTCAGTTAGACACTTGTACAGTTGTGTTCTTGACCTCTCAAAGGAATGCTCGTCACTCCATCCTGTCCTATTTTGCTATTTGAGCAGTTGACAGAACCCCAATTGGCAGGACATCGCGTGGACTCCGTTTTCACGATGTGACCACCGGCTGCGCTTTTGACGCACGATGGAGGACTTTTTACGCGCGGACGACACCCGACCCCACAACTCGTCGTGGGCCAGGTGTCGCGCGTGGGAGAACGAGAGTCACTCGGCCAACGCCACCGCCGCGCACCCTTTAAAACGCAACGACGAAGTGGCGAAAGCGGAAGTGGCCGTGCTGGTGCTGGTGCTGCTTCTCGCGCTCACCGGCAACCTGTGCGTGCTGCGGGCCATCCGCGCGGCCAAAACGCGCCAATCTCGGATGCTTTACTTCATGAGGCACCTGAGCATCGCCGACCTGGTGGTGGCCGTCTTCCAGGTTCTCCCGCAGCTCATCTGGGACATCACGTTCCGCTTCTACGGACCGGACGCGCTGTGCAGGCTGGTGAAGTACGCGCAGGTGGTGGGCATGTTCGCGTCCACTTACATGCTGGTGCTGATGTCCATCGACAGGTGTTTGGCCGTATGCCAGCCACTCAGACCGGTGCGCAGGGGAAGGGACCGCGTGTGCGTGTGCACGTCGTGGCTGCTCAGTCTGATATTCAGCACGCCTCAAGTGTACATCTTTTCCCTGCGGGACGTCGGGGACGGAGTGTACGACTGCTGGGGGGATTTTGTGCAGCCGTGGGGCGCCAAGGCGTACATCACATGGATGAGCATCAGCATTTACATCCTCCCCGTGGGCGTCCTCAGCGTGTGCTACGGTCTGATTTGTGTCAAAATCTGGCAGAACTTTAACCTGAAAACCAGGAGGGAGCACGTCTTGGCTCCGTCGGTCAATGATGCGCGTAATCTCTGTCGGGTGAGCAGCGTCAGGCTCATCTCCAAAGCCAAGATACGCACCGTGAAAATGACTTTCGTGGTGGTTTTGGCCTACATCGTGTGCTGGACCCCCTTTTTCTTTGTCCAGATGTGGTCTGCGTGGGATGATGCGGCTCCACGGGAAGGTAAGCTGCGCTCAAAATGGACTTTTATACATAAAATATATATAAAATATATAAAAATTATATATACACCAACTTTGACGAACTTGACAAACCGGAAAAAAATACATAAATAAATAAGAGCGGACTTTTGAGTTTAACAAATGAGTCACTTGAACTCAGTTGAAGTTAAAAAAAAAAAGTTAATGTATTTGGAAAGTCCTTCATTTACAGATAAGATAGGAGATAATATCTTCTTTTGATTTTTTTTTCCAAAGCATTGAGCCTGAATGGTGTACTAGACTTGTTCCCAATGGGACCTCTCCTCAGTGAATGAGGGTGTCACTGACAGTGTTTATCAGTGGAAGGAAAAAGTCCGCCGGAGCCACAAGGAAGGGGAAATGGAGGACTCCAAAGAGTGGACACAAGAGAGGGGAACGATTAAAATTTCATTATCTTTCAGTTATTCTTGGCATGGAATCGTGCAAGAGACTTTAATTTAATGAAGTAGTCTTTTTTTCTACAATTCGAGGGTTATATTCGTATTTGGATCAATGCACTCCATTGGGAGAAGCGACATCGAGTCAGTCTTCAGATGAAATCAAATGGTCAATTCGTGATTACAAAATGCATTGAACGGTAATCAGAAAGCCATGAATGTCGTACGTGTTGTGCAGACAGAGATACAGAGAGTTGGCAGCATTCTAAGGGTTTCATTGTTTAGGGGTAAATATTGTATACAATAAAGTCAAATCATACAAACGTTGCTCGAACACGTGAGAAACAAAACAAACGATATGTGCTGTTTTAATTTGTTGCCATGACTGGTTAGCGTGTCAACCTCACAGTGCAGAGGTACCGGGTTCGATTACAGCCTCCCTGTGTGGAGTTTGCGTGTTCTCCCCGTGCCCGCGTGGGTTTTCTCCGGGTACTCCGGTTTCCTCCCACATTCCAAAAACATGCATGGCAGGTTAATGGAACACTATAAATTGTCCCTCGGTGTGAGTGTGGATGGTTGTTCGTTTCTGTGTGACCCTGTGATTGGCTGGAAACCAGTTCAGGGTGTCCCCAGCCTACTGCCCGAAGACGGCTGGGATATGCTCCAGTGATCCTTGTGAGGATAAAGTGGATCGGAAAATCGATGGATGGATGAGTAATTAGTGCATATCTCGGATTTGTTTCCACTTTTGTTCACAATATAACTTAAAATGATTTTTTATTTGGCATATTCCATTTCTGAGCGGGTGTCTGCGCTCTCCCGAGTTCCGGTGTAGTTTCATCCCTGGATTCCCGGTCGGTTCTCATGTTTAGAAGCCATGTAGGGAAGTTCACTTCAATGAGCAACAGGGCTTGAAGTCCAAATGGGATTTTGTGCACTCATCCACTGTTTGCTTAACTTCTGGTCTTTGATATCGCACACGCTCCTAATCGGATACACGATGGTGTTGTCAAAGTAATCCTCCTCTGGATTTCAACATGACCTCAACTTCATTCTCGCACCGCCGCTCGTTAAAGAGGCGTGAAATGAAGACAAGTGTTTCATCTCTGACTTGGGATATATGTAAACAATAAGTCAAACAAGGTTGAAAGTTCACTGTCGTTTCCCTGCGGAACTAATCCGTCGCAATCGTTTTCCCACCCGGTTTATTCATCAGGATTAACAGGCTGATGCCATCTCGCACACAAGAGGTCAGCACCTTGAGGAGAAAAAAAAAAAAACTTTTGACGCAGTTTAAATCCCTTGCATGGAAACATCTTCTCTTTCCCCCTTTCCCAATGGCAAACTCCCCGCTGTGGGTTTTGTGCCTCCCATCACTGGAATTATCATCATTTCCATGAATAATCCATTATTTTTTTTCCATGCAGGACAGTCACACGAACCGAGAAAATGTATCATTACTTGTTCCAACGGAAAAGCGCCAAGCAACCTCAAGTTTAATTTGTGTGGCATCCATCAAGGTTACTTATAATGCCAGATGTTTCTGCGGTCTTATCGCTGATTTGCAAGATCACCCCAGCTGGCCCAAGTTGTGGCTGGTCTATGTACTGTCGATATACATAAGTGAAATTGTTGAATGTCTCTTTTCCAGTCGTGCAAATGCATCAAAGAGGGATTTTTTTTTTAAAGAAATAATATCATGTTATATAGGGTGGCACGGCGGGTAAGCGGTTGCCCTATCTGCCACACAGTTCGAAGGCTCAAGGTTTTAATCGTGCCTCTGGCATCCCTCTGTGTGGTTGGCATTATTTTTTGAGAAAAAAAATCGCACAGCACACCACCAAATAAAAAACAGATACACAGGCCCCTGACCACATTTTGACATGTATGTGATGATGAGCATTTCATTGTTCTGCCTATTAACGTAACTGGCAAAGATACACAAAGAAAGATAAAATGGTCAGCGTTTGGAACAAATTAAGTGAGTTTCATGCAACTGCCTGGTAAACTCTCACGGGACACCAGTTTTACATTACACTGGTACCTCCACTTACGAAATTAATTGGATCTGGAAGAAATTTCTTAACTAGAACAAGTACAGACGCATTTTCCATATAAAGCTCGTGGCCCGAGGGGCGAATGACGAGGACGCTGCATAGACACAAATCTATCTATTTATTTATCTACACACACACAGACACGTACGGTATAGCTCCCTCTCAGCCAATGGGATGCCAGGATGATGCTAGGTAATAGCCAATGGCAGAGTAGCTATAAGTATGTTGGATTCAGGGAACTCCGAGCTGCGAATATTTTTAGTTTTTGTATCTTCAAAAATGATTTCGTAACATGAGGTAATATTCTCCTGTTGAGGCGTTTCGTAACTTGAAAATTTCACATGCAGAGACGTTCGTAAGTAGAGGTACAGCTGTACATGTAGTCATACTGACCACCATTTTGTAATTGACAGACACGGCCTTCATCATCGCCATGTTGCTGGCCAGTCTGAACAGCTGCTGTAACCCCTGGATCTACATGTTCTTCGCCGGTCACATGTTCCAGGGTGTGGCGAGCGGCTTCTTCTGCTGTCGACGCTATGTGGCGGCGTCCTCGTGCAGCCAACATCACAACAACTCCTCCGCATGCGCCATCAAGAAGGACGGCAGCCACAAAACCCTCTCGCACACATCTAGCACAGGGGAGCCAGCACACTGAGACTTCATCCGACAGTCCAGTTGGCGTCTTCTTTCACGGGCACGTCATTACTTCCGCAGCCTCAATGGAAACATCCTTTCCAAGCAGTTGCAGCCACGTGATAACAAGAGAACACTCTTCACATTTTCATGGCTACTCGTTGCTAAGCAGGAAAGAGATGCTGGCCCAAGAACAATTGATGTTGGTATTTTTTCATACATCATGAGTTTGATTCTGATGAAACATAAGTACAGTACACTTTTAGCCACTGAGATACAGTATTGGGGTCATCTTTGAGTTCGTAAATTGGATCCCAGTCAGTGTCATCTAAACTTCCTGAAAGGTAAGAAACACACTGGGATTAAGGAAAAGGGTTCGGGTTAACCCTAATTCACAATATTCATTTGCATTAATATGTTGATGCCCCGGCAGCTAAGCGAAATAAAGTACAATTTAATTTGCAAGGTTTCTTTCAATATCTGATCCTCTCACTTTCTGGGATGCTGGCCCGGAGTTGCACTGATGAATCAATAAAAGTGATGAATGCAATAGTTGACTGTCCCAGATGTCAAACCGCGAACTAGACCTTGAAGAAATACCATGTATGACTTTATTCATTTCCTCACGTATCTTTAAAAAAAAATATACCAAAGTGGATTTATCCCACTGTAGTTCTCAGTGGCTAAATTTAAAACGGCATGCGTCAATTCAAGGGACAGTGTGTATAATCTTTTTATTTTTCAATGTTTGTTACTTCGAAAAACACAATTGATTTGAATAATGTGCAAAAACTGTATTCCATCACATCAACGTATATTTTTTAAATGTTACTGTAATTGCTAATTACATAGCACGTGCCTCAGCTACAAAAGGTTGCCATTTTTTGCCGCCGTCTTTCCGCTACGGACACTCAAAGCTGACAAACTTAACGAAGGTTGTTCCGCCACATGATGACGACAGCATGGGTTTAATAAAAAAATCCATGCAATTAGTTTGTCACTTGAAGGAATTATTGAAGCCTTTTGTGATGACGTTTTGCCTGCACATCTGCTGAGGTGGAAGGCTTGCTTAGTCGAGGCTCGTCGACTGACAGTAGTGCACGTGCTTCAAACTGCACGTATTTCGAGTTTTGGTCTTTGCATCCTATTATTTGATCACTAGATGGCGCTAACTTCTACACAATGTTCTTTTAAGATCACATTATGCTGTTTCTTTCCGCAGAAACTTGGGATGCGCCACACAGCAGAGAAAGGAAAGGGAGAGGCTACTCACCAACCAATATGTAGCAAGCTTTTTTTTCCACTGCCGCATCCTCTAGGAACTTGCTGAATATGTAAAATGTCACTGTGATTATATTTGAAGAACCAACACTAGTGGACCAGACAGGGTATCTCTCATATTATGTTAACAGTCTATTTTGAAATGTTCTATGAACAAGTGAAAGTGAAGTGAAAGTCTGATTTTAATTTGTAAGGAGACATTGAATACAATAAAGACTCATTTCAGTCAACTATGCATGTTTTGGACTTATGAGGTGTGTCCAATTTGTAACTCAATGCAAATATCAGAGAAAGCCCCTAGTGTACAGCGTTTGTGTGTCTAATTGTCTTGCTCTTTGTGTTTTTCATCCGCATTTCAGAGACAAACACTTCTGGCATTGTTCATTTTCGTTGGTTTTATTTGCTACAATGTTACAAAGTATCAAACTAAATGTACCTTCTGTGTGAGGTAAGACTGCCCCCCTGTGGTGGGACACTTTCCTGCTATTGTCTTTTGGAAATACAAAAAAGTTGTTTCGTAATCCATTTTATGATTGGGGAGTTGGGGGGAATAGGGGTATGTTTTTTTTTAATCATCCATGCAATGTAGTATGCAAATAACTAATTGTAATCAAATGAAATTTCGTATAAAAGTCAGTTTTGGACAAGATGCAGGAATAATAACAATAATAATAATAAATAATAAATAAATGCATTACTAATTTGGTAAGTTATCCTCTTCTGGAGGGGTCACTTATTTTAATTTTCCAGAAATTCATCTGTGCGGTAGTGTGATGTTTCATTCATTAAAAAAAAATCTCTTTTTCAAAAAATCTGAAGAAAATAAAAAATAGAAAGGTTTGTACCACATAAAGTTGTAAACTGCACACTGTTACTAACTATATTAAATGTGTCAGGCACATGTTATCGTTGACAAATCTCATACAGCGTTGAACTCTTAGCAAAGCTGCTGTAAACACATTATGATGAAGTCTGTAACGACATTTACATGTCCACAATTAGGTCATCCACTTGGTGGCTGTGTGTCCTTTACAAATCAAAGGTAGCCTAAGTATGTGTTATTCCTTGGCCAAGTGAACGCTAAAGCCGCCACAACACCGCCCGGCACTGGTCAGCAAAGGCCTCGCGATGACGTCCAGCACGACGCTCCAAAGGTTCTGCAGCCAGCGTGTTCCGATAAGAATGCACTTCATGCAGGGGCTGATCATCCTGGTGAACACAACAACACACACCCAGTGTCTTTTTTGTCCTGTATGTACATTTAATGTACACTTATTGTACACAGCTTGATATATGGTTTTCTCTTTGGCGATAAGCAACAATGCCTTTAATTTTGTAGGATGCAAAAGTGAAAGGTCTTTATTTATCTATTGAATAATAACATGATGTACTGTATCCCAAAGCCCATTTTCACACTTTAAGTTACATTTACAGCATAACTATATGAGCACAGATACACTCATGAAACACTTTTTTTTTTAAAACATTTTAGGGTTTATCTTTTTTTACACTTGTAGTGGCCCTCAGCTAAGTGACTCATTTTAAATCATCGATCAGCTTAATGTATTTATGTGATTTTATGAAAAACAGTACCGATTACGTCTCCTTATAATTTGTGTTGGATAAACTTAATATGTTTGCGTTGAACTAACAAAAGCATTCATCAGAGATTAAAATATTTATTCATAGCTAAACATATAAAACGATTTGTAAAGATTGTATTACCTTAATGTGAGTAATTAAAAAAAAAACATTGAATTTACTTTGTACTTTTATGTCAAACAGTTAAACACAATTGCATTTTGTGAAAAACTAAAATAAAATGCTCAGTGATTAAAAATTAACATTGAATCAATTGAAAATTTACTCGTTAATATTTTGGATTGAACAAAAATGGTGTCAAATATTTAGAATCCACATTTTTTTTTTTTTTTTTTTTTTTACAAAATATGCTTAACAAACTAAAACAGAGGATAGCCTTGACTGATTGTTGACTTTTTTTTACCCGTTCCAAACGATTGCATTATGATAATTTAAACCAGATTATTTATCAACATAAACTTTTGTTGTGTACGTGTTAACTAGTGGACTGTTAGCATTTTTATTTTTGGTTCAAACCGGCACAATTACCATATGTGTATGCAGCTGAGAACAGCAAAGAGGATTCCGGAGAGGATGGACATGGGGATGGCCAGAAGCACTGTGATGATCCTGTATACCCAAATTCGACAGACTTCAAACAAAGCGTGGCTCCAGATCCACACTCGGTCCCCGCTGCGCACCGACACTGGCTCAGCAATAACATCTTCAAACGTCACCTGCAGGCCCAAAGAAAAACATGGTATGTTGGTCCATGGATCATGGTTTTAAGTTTCTTTGACAAGACCAAATGCTGGAAACAAAAAGTACATGCTGTTCTTTCATTCATTGATTTTCCGATCCCAGCCATCTTCGGGCAGTAGGTGGGGGACACCCTGAACCGGTTGTCAGCCAATCACAGGGCACACAGAGACCAACAACCATCCGAGCTCACACTCACACCTAGGGACAATTTGGAGTGTTCAATCAGATCTGCCATGCATGTTTTTGGAATGTGGGAGGAAACCACAGTACCCGGAGAAAACCCACGCAGGCCCGGGGAGAACATGCAAACTCCACACAAGGAGGCCGGAGCTGGAATTGAACCTGGTACCTCTGCACTGTGAGGTCAACGTGCTAACCACTAGACAGCCGGGCCACCCACTGTTTTTTCATTCATTCATTTTACATTTAATACAGAGTAGTGATTGTGGTGTTTTAATCTTTTCGATCTTGACTATGTTTGCATTGGGGAAGTGTCTTTCATTCATTCATTCTGTAAGTATTTTTTAGCTAATACAGAGTAGCAGCAATTTTGTCACTCACAGTGTAGTGGTTAATTCGCCATTTAGGCAGCATGAGTTCAGTACCCACACAGTGATAGTGTGAATGTGAATGGTTGTCTCGCCACTCTATGTGATTAACTGGCGATTAATCCAGGGTGTAGTCTTTCTTTTTCCCTAAATCAAGATTGACTCCGGTTCACCTGTGACCCTGAACAGGATCAACTGTATCGAAGATGAAAAGATGGATGAAAACTAATGATGTAGAATTATCGGGTATAAATAAATGCGGGCGTGGCTGCCAGGCGCCATTTTTGGGACTGATCGCGCGCCCTAAATTCTGCCCAGCAACAGGTTGATGATATGAAAAAAGAATGTGAACAATTCTGTTCATCCGAGTCACTGTCCACAGTTCAATTGCTTTAGCATATTAGCATTCGCTACCTTAAGGCAGTCGTTCATCCCCCGAGGGTCTCGAACATCGAGCAAGGGTTTGGTATCGCTGATATCCACAAGGGAAGACGAATGAATACTTTTTTCTTCCTGGTCATGAAAGCGCCCCGCTTTCCATAGCGTCTCTGGTTGTTCAAACTCCTCGGGGTCACTGGAGTCCCTCAGGTCAATCTCCACCTCCTCCAAATCGCCCCCCTTCCTCAGGTCGTCCATTGAGATAGGTGAACACAACACAGTAGCGACAGTACAAACTCCCGACTGAGGCCACAGCCCCTTTCAGCTGCGGGCGAGGGGGGCTATATTGAGAAGGCTGCGTTGGCCTGGATGGTATTTTCAGATGACCTTTCAACTTGGATCACTTTCCTGAGCTGTGAGACGATCGAGGGATATAAATAATAGCCACACACACGCGCACACACACACACACACACACACACACACACACACACACACACACACACACACACACACACCACACATTATGCCAGTGCATCATATTAAATGACAAATAGGAGTGGCTCACAAATGTGGCAGATCCGTGAATGCATTTACGCCAGAGGTCGAAAAACTCGTCTGGTTTTATGGCTCAGCGTTGCTGCCGCAAAGCTGCGACTTCAAAACTATTCACTTCTAAATGCAGAAACACATACTGCACATTGTCTTATTGTTCACATTGAGTATAAATATATTTTTAACTTTTATAAACATATTGAATAAGTATACATATTTGTAATAAAGCAATTTCCAACAAAAGCCTCACTGGAAAGACTGCTTCCTTCCTTTCAGATTGACAGTTTAGAAAACTGTGTTAGAGATCTGTTTGCAACACATTTTGCGTGAAATCTTGTTACATTCCTCTGAAAAAAAGACATTTTAGACAGCCCCTGCAGCTGTCACACATTTTTTTAAGAGGACTGCACATTTGAACTGTTCTTTGTCGAGGCTTTTTCTTGTGCGTGATAGATAAAAGAAGAGAGACTCTCATTGCAAATTCGCTGGGTCATCCCAAAAATACAGTCGCACGCTTTCTCAGTAACTGGCTGCAATTGAGTCGGATTTTGAAAACAAGGGATCGTGTCACGGAAGGGATGTGATCAATGAGAATAATTCATCGACGATACCCGCCTCTATCCTTTTGAAATGGGATTTAATGAGCCTTCTTGTTGGAAGGGGCAGCTGCACACAAGTGGCTGCGGTGGTCCTTCACTGTATGTGTTAGTCATCTCATTGCAAAGCCCCGACATTCACAAAACGAATGAATAGCACGGATTCATACACAATATGCCTTTTTTTTCATGATTGCAAATGAAGACGGAAAATGTGACTGCATGTATACCTCAAAAACTGGTGTGGTGTTCTTTCTTCCTGCTATGTGTATACAAATTTCGTTTTTAATCATCTCATCTCTTCAATAAATGGAACATCTCAAGGGCAACTATTTTGGCAGAAGCTGTCAAGGCCTCAATTTGTGTCTTTTCGTGATCAGTTTTTTTTTTTCAGTTCCTCCATAGTCTGTGCCAACGTAAGTTTAAATTGTTCCTCCAAGGCTGATTAATATAAACGGAATTTACCAAGCAAGCTGACTCTGCTCTATCCCCAAAATGTCTTCCAAAACATTGTGATGATTTGAGACCATATTTCCGGGTCATTTGAGAGTTTCAAATTTCAAAATTGCAGTTCAGCACCGACGGCATTGCTGGAGAAAATTCCCATTCATACACGGATCTAATGAAATTTGCAAGAATGGAACATAACCATTCCCTTCAGTTTATTATTGGCACAAATGCAATGAAGCACAACAACAAAGTGATTAATCAAATATTGTTTATGTGCACCTAAACTCACCAGACACAATCTAAGATGTGCATTCCTGAACATTCAGATGAAATTGTAGTCCCGCTACCTACTGTGGAAGGTGTTCAATTAGTTTCATCAACTCTTGGACCCTTGGAACGAAACAAGATGACAATGTATCCTGGCAGAATATAATTTAAGAAAAACAGCTCTGGTCTGACTATCAATCAAAACTGAGCGGTGGTATCTTTGTCAAAGAAGATTTTTGGATACAGCTCTTGTATTTTTGCCCCTTACAAATAATTAGTACCTTGTATACAAGCTAATGTAGTGTCCAACGAGTTAAACCGTGTGAAACTAAGCCATTATTGATTAGTAAGAAAGTGTGCTTAAAACTGCAACCAAAAGTGCTCATTAAAAAAAAAAAGAAAAAAAAAATCAGACCCAAAGTTGGGTTCTTTCATTTAAAAAGTCAATACTGACTGAAATGTTGAAGATTGGTTGAAAATGTGTAAGCAAGGAGGCGACCCATCCTGGGCTGGACATCCATTAAAGTGAAGAGTAATAGTGTTTTTGTTGGCTAACGAAGAGCTTTTCGACAGAGCCGCCAAAGCAAACATAGAACGTTAACAGAAGAACTTACTCGCCTCTAGCATACGTGAGCTTAAAAGCACTGTACATTTGCTCTCCAGGATATAGAATACTGTCTAATGAGAGCCGTCCCAAGTTTACAAAAAGGTCGTTACTGTAAAAATAACCTAATTCAAGCACTACATTGAATAATGTCGATTAGGAGAGGCAACCTGTCACACGGTTACAGTACAGCACACACACACGAGCAGACAAGATGAAGGCCAAAGCACACTGCCGACTGGCATCAATCATATCGACGCGTTGTCGGGCAGAGATACGTCGGCTTTGTGTTCCACTTTCACCAAGCCCATTCTCTTCTTCAGCAGTTTGTCCTCATTGTTCAACTTGGTCCGGATAGCCGTCTTGATCTGGCTTCTGTCCACGCCAAACTTGACCGCCACATGCTCTGAAGGGAGTGACGAGACGATAATGAAGACAAATCAAAAGGTGACGTGTGAATGCTGAGATGATGTCATCCAGTGAATCCTGCATCCCGACACGGAAAACCACTGTGTTCCTTCACCGAGTTTTTACCCATTGAGGGCAACAGTGGTTAAAAACAGGCTGTGGGAAGGAGGCTAGTCTGCAATCCTGACTGCTTGAGCAAGGGACCAATTGTGAGAACCTAAGGCATATCACACATAGTTGCATCTACTACTCACCACAGACTGATGCTAAAACACACGAGACCCCCGTTTGTCTCTTCAGGTGCATGCTCAGACGTTGTCAGGAGTGAGTTCGAGCATGTGCACAGTAACCATTTGCCGGTTAAATTTGAAATTATTATCGAGTTTAACACCCGAGTTCGAGACTGTTGGTTTTAGATGAGGCGCCAGGGGGCCCAAGTCAGCAGGGTGGAATGTACACGGGCCACTGGGACCAAACAACATGACTTTCTTTTCATTGAAATTAAAGAAATTCTGTGCCAGCCAGGCCTTGATTTCTTCCAGAAAGGACAAGTAGCCTCATTGAGAAAGCATATTTTTTCTTAGCGGGACATCGATCTGACGGTCATCCGCAGAGCAGTGGAAGAAAAAAAAATGTTTTCTTCAGATGGAACTCAAGAGCAATGAAAACAGCAGAGGCCGCAGATGTGAACCCTGTGGAAGACCATCAACAGTGGGGCAGAGCAACCAGGGCTTACACAAAAATTTCAAACTGCCAAATAGGATCTAAGCCGCTCAAGAGCACTACCACTAATGCCCAACTGATACTGCAAACAAGAATCAATAAAATACGGAACAAAATCTGACGCAAGTCTCACTCGTGGCAACATTGGCGCGAAAGCTTAATTGTTCATTCCATGACATTCGTTCTCAATCAATAACCTACCGATGATACTCCTGAGGATCTCAGGTGGGAGCTGGGGCTTGGGGCATTCCTCCCCACTCATAGCGTTCCTGCGGCCCTGCAGCGAGTGTGTGGCCAGCGTCTCTCTGTCAAAAAGCATCATGAGCAGCGCTCCGGTGTATTTCTTGAAGTCTGCAATTTCGCCCACATGCTCGTAAAGACTCCTCGGAACCCGGAGGTTTTCGGCGAGGTACATGTAGTTGTTGCTGTCCTGAGGGTGACAAAAACTGAACGTGTGACGACGCACAAGAGAGTTGGTCCGACGACACTGACAAATGAGTGCCGACCTCTGGCTTGTCGCTTACTGCTACGATGTCAGCCTCGTGCTCCGACAGGAAGGAGATGCCTTCTTCTTGGGAGTTGTGTGTGGCCATCATCGGGTCGCCGCCTTGGAGGATGTGGTCCAGCGTGGCTCGGAGGTCGTGAGCCGTGTGTCGCATCTCCACCATGAGAGTATTCATCTCTGCGGCAAGCGTCACATCCAGACGAAATACTATTATGTGCTAGCATGTCCACAACCTAGGCTAACGGCTTTAATTATAATACTGTAATAAATTCCCTGGGGGGGGGGGGGGGGGTAGTCACAATTTACAGATTTTTTTTTGGGGGGGGTGGACTAATTGTCAGAAATTCACTGAAAAACTCACCTATTTGCTTACTAACATGCGTGTGCGGCAGCATGCTAACATTGATCATGTGACTTCCTCTCCATTGAGTCAAAATGAATTGTTACTGGTTTGATGTTGTATTTTTTCAAAACATAAAAGAGGCGATTAAGTTACCTGAGGACCCGATGGGAACAGTCACGTCGGTGGTCGCAGCCATCCACATACAGCCATCTGAGCTTCAAACATTATATTTATATCCCTCCACATGAAGTGGAGAGCTTTTCAATTGATCCTTTTTAACTGTAATAGTCTCCACTGCGAGAGCCTGCCTGTCTCCTCATGAGCCTCTATGAGCCACAGCGCTCGTGAGCAAATGATTGTGCATCCCTCGGTCTTGACTTTTGTCCCTACAGTCTCTGATTGGCTCGTTTCAGTCACGCTGTGATGAATTACGAAATAATAAACAAAAATTCAGTTAGCGGCAGAAGAAGGGTCCAGAGAGGGATGATTTTCCCAAAATAATATTCTCCTCTTGGATCATATATACAGTTTATGCATTTGTGATGCAGCCCACGCTTTTGTCCTTAAAGTCAAGTCAAATGTTCTGGGATGGTGTGGATTCATCAGATTAATTATTATTTAACTAATGCAAGATGAATCAGAAAAACATGTTAGACTATGGAACATTTTGAAAAAAAATATTAGAATTGACTTCCGCTTCAATGCATTTTTTTTCTCCTTGTATTCCTTTTACTGTTATAGTTTAGGTAGTTTTTAAACCATTATTTTCATACCATTGCTTCAGTCAAAAGCTGGAGTTGATAGTTACAACTTAGACTAAAGTATTATTAAATCACAATATGCATACTTGTACTTGAGTAATGAATATTGTTGACATCTCTGCATATGTGATTGAC